ATGTCCCACTAAAGGTTATCACTCTTGGTTTTTGTTATTATTTCAGAGTTATTTCACTAATTACTTTAAATTACCCTAGTTTTTAGAGACTTACTTTTTTTTTTTTCCTCCAGAGATTTGTTCCAATAGTTCACTAACATTTATCAGGACAATTTTTTTCTCTCCCATTTTATACGGTATGAATCAAGGGCATAGTATGGAATAGGCTGTAGTGTCCAGAGTATTTATTAAAAGAGTATCTCTATAAGGAAGCAATACAGAAGCTCTGCTGGGACAGAAATCCCATGGAATCCACACTTGCCATTTCTAGATTCGACTTAATCTCAAAATCTGCCCATAATACAGCACAGCAATGCCTCTAGGATTTTGAAGGTAAAAATTCCTGACCTTACACAATATCTGACACTGTGAAGCAACAAGTTGAGAAATACTTAAATATTTTAATAAACTGAGCTAAGAAATCTTGAAAAATCAGGTGCCTCCCCTCAAGAAAAGTTAAACCTTTTGTTAGTTTGTTTTTGTTTTTAACATTACCAAGTAAGAGTGTTTCTCCTTAATTATCTAGTTAATTGACTGTTTTAATATATTTTAGTCATTTTTATTTTACTTTGTATTTTATTTTATTTTAGTATATTTCCACAGAAGAGTAAAGCTTTGTGGCTGAGATTAAAGCAAATATGTGTAGTCTATGGTTATTTGTTTTTTATTATTTCAATCTATCATCATCATAAAGTTTCTTTCAATTTGGAGATTGGTCACATTTTAATAAATGGGAACATAATCATAATTCAATCTGAAGCTACAAATAAATGACTGACCATTCATCTAATATTTTCTTTTTTATGAAAAAGCCACACAAAATAAACAAACAGAAAATAATATGTGATTTGGGGAAATTTTAGGATATTTCAAGATCATAGCAATGTCTGACCAGACAGCCTTCTACCCCTCCCAGATCTTCAATGCTCTAAGTGATAATCAATGTCCATTATGACAAGCCAAAAAGAGCTGCAAGACAGTCAGCGCTTTCTGAATTGCCACTATTTTAAGAATCATTTTAGTGTAGCTGTATTTAATTTCTAATGGTTATTAACCAGATTTCCAATAAATGGCTGTTTATTGTACAAAAGTATAGAGAAATAGTTTATAAGTTTAATGAGATAAAATACTATTTGCAAGCTAACTGAAAAATTACAGACCAACTGTCAGAATATATGTCATCATTATATTTTTTCAGGTGACACAATGTTCTCATGAATATTCCCAATAAACATGTGCCAGTAATTTTCAATTTCTCAGATACCTGTTCTCATGTCCTAGGGTCTACACCATGATCTACTTTTATTCCAAACTTTATTTTCTGAAGGTAATGTAATCTCTTCTAGCCTCATGGTACATTATCCTCACATTCTGTTGTTGAAATCAAGTGGAAATTCGAAGGTATATGCTGAGTCCTAAGCAGGGCGCTATCACTCAGAAAAGGAATACAGCATGCAATGCCTGGAGGGCTCCCACATCCCTGTGATGCAGTGAGACAATCAATTGTTTTTAATTTTGTGGAGTTTACTTTTGTTTTCACAAATTATGTTAGACAATCTGAAAGAAAGATAATTTTGTATGACTTTTTTCCAAAGATAGCCTGCTCAATAAATGTAATAAGTCAACTGAGCCTGTTCTATTCTTTTTTAAAAGAACCACAGTCCACCCTGAAAGTCATTTTGACATTTCAGTATTTTATTTTTTTAAGATTTATTATAAGGTGGGTACACTGTAAATATTATTTTACTTTAGTCATCCTGAAGATTCCATGTCTCTTGTAAAGGCCTTGGAAATGGTCCAATTCAATAACCTGAAACTGACTGGCATTTCATTGCAGTAAAAAGAGACACTATTTTATTTATAGTCACCATCACACACATTTACTATTCCCAGTCTCCTGAGGAGCACAAAAAAACTGTTTTACAAATTTAATATAGAAGAAAGTATGTATCAGATAACTTCCTACTTAGAATTCTTTTTTTAAAAAAGTGCATAACTCAATTCAATACAACAAATATTTACTGAGCATTAACTCTAGTTCAGGTGCTGTTATAAAGATAATAATATACAGATTAATTATTTCAGAGGTTCTTACAAAGTTCTTCAGAATTTATTTTTAAAATCTTCCTTTTCCCTTTGAGAGGTTGGAAATAACCTGTTTTCCAAATAAAGGGGAGTATTTTTCTACCACATTCCTGGAATTTCCCTGTGTAATTGTGGACATTCCACCTGTTGTTTCCTTAAAACAATGCTATTTTATTTATTTAAAACAATGCTACTTTAAAAAAAAAAAAAAAGCTGTTCAAAGCCAGGTAATTCACTGACAACTCAAGGAAGGTGGTCAGAATTGTGTTTAGATGTTCAGTCTTCTCAAGAGACAGGTTATTTGGGCTGGCAGGATCAGAGAATGGAGGTGAAAACCCCAGACTCAGAGAACAGGGGAGGAACAAGAGTATTTGGCATCTGAGGAATATATCCACCTAGTAAGGCAAACATCTAAGGAAAGTAGTAGAAATTTCTGTAGGAATCAAGTCAGATAAGACTAGAGGCTACAGAGTATAAGAAAAAGGGGATTCAGGCCAAATGTGGGAGAAAGGCTGGTGACATCCTGGTACTGCCAGAACGGCAGCTGATCTGCAGGTTTCAGGGCAGTTCTTATGCACATATCCCAATAATAAAGGTTTACAGAGGATGCCAAGAGGACAGACATGCCTATTTATCCACTAGTTCTTGTTATTGGGTATATGTAGATCTCGGATGAGAAGCAGGCAGAGAGAAGGAGGAAGTGATTTTAAGAATATAGGAGGAGGAAACAACTGAATTTTAGACAAGTTCTAAATAACTTGTATATCTTCTGACCTTAGTGTACTATAAATTCTTGATTTTTCCTGTTCATTTCCAACCATAGAAATCAAATTCACAATTATTAGTCTATAGATCCTGATAGGGTATTTTTGCAGAATACAGCTTCTCATTTCTAATTTCAAATGTACAAAATTGTAATACTTAAGATTTTGTATAGATTTAATAAAAATACTTCTATATACCAATTAATAAATCCTTTCCCACTATAGCTTTCCAGGGAGATAGATTTTGATTACTAGTAACCTATTCTTTAAATGAAAACATAAGATAGACAACAAAAACTTAGTTGCTTTAGTAATCTGAGATAATCACCTTCCCATATACATGAAAACTATGTGTGATTTTCATCTTTGGTTTATAAATCAGTGTGAATATTAGTTCGCTTATAAGAATAAATAAAAATAGGTCTAATGTAAATGAATGTCTCCCTAAACACAATCTGCCTAATATCTTTAACAGACTTTTGAGACACATTTAAATATAAAATTTTCACCACTCCCATTTCATTGTAGCTCAATAAACAAAGTTCCAGTCCAAATGACATATGAATATTAGGCTCTTTCATGAATTAATTTTTCCAATTTTGATAGATATACACAATAACTGGTTTGTGTGACCCTGTAATGTACTTCTCAGATGGGGCAGGGAGGGGGGAAGCTTTTTAAAGAAAAATTTTGGTCAAAGGATGGCATTTTATGGTCCTTTATACTTAGCTACCTGATAAAAATATAGCGAGATCTCTATAACCAACCAAAGTAAGTAATGGAACACCATTTCCCCTCAATAACTAACTCTATCTCTCTGAGTTTCTGATCTTTATAATTTTATGATTCTCCAAGTAGTAATTTGTCTTTATATTTACATAAAAAAAAAGTCAGAGTAGTTCTCAACCTAGAATTACACAGAAAAGATGACTAATTAAAGGGTAAAAACCTGTTTAAAAATGTTAAACTACATTCTAAGATCCCAAAACTCTGGGTAGCCTATCTAGAGATCTATATGATTTCTCAGTCACTGAGAAAGTCTTTTACAATTGCTCCAGAGATAGTTTAAACTAACCAGATGCATTAAAAGTCACCATTCACAGAACTAAAAATACACCAATGCTTTAACAACCAGCTTCATATGATTCATAGTTCTGATAACATTCTTAAGTTCTGTGAAACATGTTAACTTTGAACTTAATTGAAACTACCTTACACAAGACCCTTTATAATTTCTTTTATATCTTTCAGTCTGAGAAAAGAATTCTGATTAGGAAGTAGAAGAGTCACTCTATGCATTTTTCTATCATAATGTAGATGAAATAAGACTTCTTTCTCCACCATTAAAACTCAAGAGCTCAAAAAGTCTACTAAGTGACATATCTGAACATTTTCCACTTTCTTCCAAAAGATGAAAAATCACTTCAGACAGGAAACATATTCTTTAGATTAGTGGCAGGTGTAGAACAAGCACACCAGTCAGCCTTTATTTCAGCATCGGTGGGCATGCTCAGTGACAGAGGATACAGCTCTTCCTTTTTATTGAAGTGACACACATCATATTATTCCTTCATCTATGCATCACCAAGACAAAAAGTTCCCAAGCAATAAAACTACTTGATCTTGGTTGAACACCAGGCTATTTTCAAAAAACAAAACCTCTAAAGAGATGCTAATGATGATGATAATGAAGAGGAGGAGGAGGAGGAGGAGGAGGAGGAATCTAGTTTAAAATTTCTTTAGAAAGGAGGAAAAGTTGTCTCCATTGTATACTAATTTCTCCACAGAACGGTAAACTTATTCAGGAGGTGAAAAATGTAGCAGCTTTAAAATTTAGAAGTTAAACGATTTATATTGCAGCACAATAAAGTGGTTCAGGAAGCACTTTAAAGCTGCAGTAGAAACTTGAGCTACTGAAGTAAGAGTTTCAAAGAAAAAGAAAAAGGTCCCATCCCACTCCCTAGGGTGTCCTCCAAAAACTCATTTGTCAGTTCCAGTTTCTCTTTTTCCCCAGAAAGATAAACAAAAAGATCAAAGCTGTAAAGCTATGACACCACTTGGCATAAATTCTGGAAAATGAACCCCTAATACAAGTTGGAATTTGGGATTTACCTGCTCTGGTCCCAGTTGGCAGCGAAAAGGACCAGAATCTTCCTGCCATAGTGGTCCAGATTGGCCAGGCCCCCAGGGAAGCCATCCTTCAGTGCCTGTTTGATGCCAGGGTCAGTGGCCTTGAAGCTTTTGAACATGTCCAGGTTCTGCTGCCGGTACTCAAAGTATTGGGCCAAGAGGCGGAAGGCCTCAAAGTGATGAAACTTCCTGGCCCGCAAGAAGCGTAAAATGAAGGCATCATCCGTGCGCAGAAAACCAATGTCCGGCCTTGTGATGACCATATCCCTCACCTCCTGGATGTCCTGGTGCAGTGTGTCTGGGTTCTCGTTGAGCTCCAGGCGAGCTTTCTCCAGGGTCTCAGGAGAGAGCCCAGCTTGTAAATGAGTCATTGTTCTGTTTGTTCCTGAGCCTTCCCTTCCTCTTGCTGACTGTCCCACAACCAACCTGGCCCTTGCCACCACCACTCTCTGGCTTCCAGACCTCGATGCTGCCTGCTTCCTCTTCTTTACAGGAAATGATTTGTTTCGGTGTCCAATCAAGTACCCTGTTGCACCTGCATTCCCACAGCTTTTCTATGAAGGATATAAACTTCTTTCCCCGCCCCCTAAAAACAACACCCCACTTCGGCTCTCTCTTCCCTTTCCTTTAAAGAGATGTGGACGTCTGGTGGTCCCAGCACTCCTCTTCTTGTCCTTTCGCTCTCCTAACAAAACACCCCTAATCGCACCCAGCACCGGTGGCGCTTATCTTGGTACTGTCCTCTTCTCTCCCAAGACGTAACGAAAACAACCCCACGCACATCTCAGCCCCAGCACTGTGCTGCTTCTGCGGTCTCCACCGAAGGATGCTCCTGCCAGGGATAATGATGGGAATTCTGATTAATAATAAGGTGGCTCTTCAGCGCTGAGCTCCAGGCTGGGAGAGAGCGTCTTTGCCAGAAAGAAAAAGAGAGAAAGAGGGGGAAAGCGAGCTTATTCCTCCTTCTGCTTATTCAAAGATTTTATTTTTAAAAGACATTTGTGGGATTTTATTTAAAATTATTATAATCTAATTATGTGGAGACTCTTTAGATAGCTCATCTTCCCTTCTCCCCTCTTAGATACACCGTGATCTCATAAGGCGCCAGAAGGGTTTTTGGTGGGCTCCCCCCTTCCCACCCCTACCCCCACCCCAACTTCTGCCTTCCTCTAGCCCTTTATTTCAACGGACTTGCCGCGGGGGTGGTGGAATGGGTAGGGGGGAGGGCTGGAGAGATCTCTCTGGGAACGTGCATTACAAATGCAAGGTGGGGGGAGAGGGTGGAGAAGAGGAGTAGAGAATAAAATCAAAATGTCTCTACTTTTTCTGTAAAACCCCAGAGCAAGAGAGAAGAAAGAGCAGACGGCTCCTACCAGCAAACCCGGAGGCGGGGACGCTAAGCAATGCGGCACTCCCCGGCATCCATGAGCCGCGGCTTCAGCAGCGGCGGCGGCGACGACAGCATCAACTCCTTTGGGTGGGATGGATCCAGCCGAGAAGAGGGGCGGTAGCCGGGACCCGCGCCGAAGACGTACTGGGGAGCAGCCGTGGCCACATCGTCCGCGAGCAGCCTGCTGCCTCTCCCAGAGGGGGTGGGGGGTGGGGTGCAGAGCTAGGGCCACGGCTGTCCTGGGTCCTCGCCCGGCCCTGCCATTCTCGCCTTCAGGAGAGAAGGAAGGGAGCGGGAATCGAACGCCTGGATGGAGAAGGCCACGCGGGCGGCCGCCGCCTGTGTGCGCCCGAGGCCGCCGGGGCAGTGGGCGCGGCGGGGCTGCTGCTGCGGGGCACGAGCCTCCTGCTGTGCGCGCCCGGGCGGCGGGAGTCAGGCGCGCCCCTCTGGCTGCTGCTGCTGCGGCTGCTGCTGCGGCTCCGGCTGCCGCTACTAAAAGAGGACTCGGCTCAGCCCAACTCCTCTCTAATTATCCCAGCACGGATCTCGCTGCTACGTAAGCACTCACTCAACTCGCGCACGCACTCCTTGCCTCTCTCCCAGACTCGTTTGGGTAGGACGGCAATTTCGGGGACATTCAAATATCCCGAGCCCCAAGTTTAGCCTACTCCTACTCCTCGTCCCCACTCCCTAAAGGGTTACCCCGGCAGGCATCGCCTGGCCAAGGCGGGGCAGAGACGCCTTGCAGCCTCCCCACACCCCGCTCTCACCCTTTGTGTGCAAGACCCCGGGGCCGCCCGAGTAGCCTTTGTAGACCGTAATTCACATTGACACACATTTTCTAGTTCCTGTAGGAGGTAATTTTGATGTGGAAGAAATACCGAAACATTTTGTACTTTCCACATTCGTTAACAGAAGTGTTTAATTTAGAAAAGAAGACGAGTGTTTCCCAAGCATCATGTTGCTGATTAAGCCTCCGGGGGAACTTAGGTGAACGGTATATCAACCATAAACTCTGGCCGCTAAATTCCTATTGAAGAGGACGAAATCAGCGTGGGGGCAGGAGGAACGGTTCTTGAGGGGAGCAAAACTAGGCACTCCTTAATTCACTTCTTATATTATATTAAAGCAAATATTCCTGGACATACATACTATTGTTCACTCAGTTTTATACATCTGTATGCTAGAATCATCATAAATGAACATGGGTCTTTAAGCTTAAGATGACTATCTACAGGTTTGAGGAAAAGAAATGTTTTCTATTTTCAAAGCATATGTTACTGAGCATGTCACTAAGATCAGCTTCTGGCTTACAAACTGTAGAATGAGGTCTTGAGTTCAAGTCAACTCAATGCAAGAATATCTACTGACTCTCACGATGTGTGGGCATTGCCTTAGAATCTATGGATAGATAATCTTGAAGACAAGAAAATATTATCATCTTTAATGACTATCAGAACCCTCAGATCCCAGGAACACAGTTTTTGTTGTTCTCATGGCAATAGTGTTGAAAGAAGGAAGGAAGGAAGGAAGGAAGGAAGGAAGGAAAGAAGGACGAAAAGCAAGAGAAAGAAAGA